TGCACATAAATACAAAAATGGATGTAAATTTTCAACGATCAGCCTCCACTAATTCTGGAACACCGTCCGGTTCAAAAATGCGAAAAATGCCACTACCATCATGAAAATCATTATGTACAATGTTAATCAAATACCAATTATCAGCAATTTGAGTAATCAACTTTGCAGATACTGAGTCTGGATCATAAATTTTTGCCCATTCATTCCAGAGTTCGAAAGCTTCATCCTAACGTTTTCATAAATGAAAAGAATTATTAAAAAATTTCAAGGAGTAATCAAAAAAAAAAAAAAATTAAGAGTAAATACCTTCCAAGCCATAAAGCTTACAGCTTCAACGATGGTTGGCTGAATTATCTCTTTACCGGGAAAAACGCCCCACGTGACGGCGTTGGGGCCTTCACTCTGAGTGTTTGTTTTTAAATCACCCTATATTGATAAAATATATATTAATAGAATATAAAGTTTAATATATAAATCATGCAGTGAAAAAGTATATGAAGAAAGAAAATAAATGTAAGACCTGTTTGTTTACGGCATAGTACGTTATGTTAACGTCGCGCTTTATTTTTGCGATAAGAGAATCAAGTTGAGTCGGAGAGACAAATATTTCCAGGTAAGCCTATTTAATAATTAAACAAAAGATTAATGAAAAGAAATAAGAAATTCTAATGATAAAATAATAAATTAAATATAAATTAAATATAAATTAAATATAAATTAAATATACAACCTTTTGATATACATAACCATTTTTAGGACCCCAACCAAAAACATTATGATCACTTCGGACGCCGTTAACGGCAGGCTGTGAATTAATACTTAAATAACCCAATGAATTGATATAGGCCAATTGATCCTTGATTATATCAGTTTCCTGCGCGAGAGATTGGTCGGACCAAGGGAGAGAAACTAGCTCACCACGACAATATCGCACAAATATGTTATAAATATCATTCATTGAATTAGGAGAACCCCATAATTCAAGAGCATTTTCTTTCTGTTTAATTAAAGAGAATTTTTTTAGAGAACATTTACGAATAATAATTTTTAGAGAAATTCATAGTACATACGGTGTGTTTAAGAGATACACCATAACCATCGAGTTCACCGAAGGCTATTAAATTAAAAAATATAAATATATAATTAATTATATATGTGGATTGATTTCAAATAATGACATTAATAGAAATATAATTAAAAGTACCCGGAGATCTCGCATCACCCCACCTTCCATTAGGGAATTCATCCCAAGCTTCAGTACGAGTAACATAACTTTTAATGCGATTTCTCCAAAATATGGGGCGTACATTTTCCTTTTTACGTTTAGCTGAAAGAGACTAATAATGATTATAAAAAATAAAAAGGAAAGTAAATATAAGTAATTTAAAATAGATAAGTATAAAAAATATCAAAAATATATATAAGTATTAAAAATATAAAAATATTAAAAATATATATATATACAAGTATCAAAAATATAAAAGTATATATATATATATATATTAAAAATATATATATATATATAAATAAATATTAAATATATATATATATATATAAATAAATATATAAATATATATATATATATAAATATAAATATTAAAAATAGAAATAATAAAAATAGAAATATTACCGGACACCAGGGTAATGGTTTAACTTTTTCTACAGGAGCGACAAATTGTAAGGCTTCTAAGATTAATCTAGTAGACCTTTCTAAATTCATTGTATAAAAATGGAAGCCACTTATTCCATTATCATACATCTTCCTAATCATTTCGACGGCCAACTTTATTCCATACTCTTTTACAGCAGCATCATCATGTTTAATAGGTTCTAATGCATCAATAACAGATTTGGGAACGATAGTCTTTGAAAGGCTTACAATTCTGTTAAATCCATTGTAGTTTTGAATTGGTAAAAGTCCAGGAAGGATAGGGCAAGTGATACCTATTGCCCGGCACTTTTTGACCCAAGTTAAAAATAAATCCACGTCATAGAACACTTGAGTTATAATAAAATCAGCACCGGCATCTACTTTTTCTTTGAGACGGCGCAGATCATCTTCTTTATC